GAGTTATATGAACAATTGCTCAACCGTTTATTGAATCTTTTTAACAAGGATCCTATATATTTATATACAAGAAAACAAGGTTTAGCAAAACAAAAAGCATTGACGTGCATTGTCATGGTGGCGACAAAAAAGCACGGTCAGAGACCTTCTTAAAGAAATAAAACATGCAACATGATGTGGTTTAGTGTTAGTTGCACAGCAGCCCTAGCCAGAGTTCTATCATTTTTGAAGATATATTTCCTGAAGCACACAATATCAATGTAGAGTGATTTTCTCTTTGCTCTTACTCTTACTTTATCACTTTGTAATTAGATATGTAGCATAAAAGAGCAGAATACAAAACTGATGAATCACCACATGGTTATATTTCATGGCTGAATATTTGCATTTTATTGCTTCACCAAGACAATGTTAGTAAGCCTAGGGTGAACCACTGAACCAGGTAGAGCTTTTTGCTATCCGGCCAGAATATCCAGTCGGATATGTTTGATATATAAGCTAGGTTTGAGCTTTCAATTCATTTAAGGTAAAACAATGGTTTCAATTGACTATAAAATGGCTCAATTGTTTATACTATTTTGACTCAAACACATGATTGGATATTTACACTTCATTATGTTGTTTAACAATAGTCAATCTTTTTACATTTGCATGCTCTCTGTTTCATGACTGAAAGTGTCTGACTGTCTGGCAGCAGACAAAGTAACATATGACCATATGACTCAGTTCCAGCTTGGACTTTCTTCCAGTTCCAGCCGGAACGTAAAAAAAAATGGTTTCGGGTGCACCCCTACAGGTCTAGCCTAGGAAGGCGCTTGATCATGTGTGCATGCCTATTAACTCATTAAGCCACAATGCGTCCCAGTGCACCCTACTTTTTTTGCTTGTCTAATGCCAATGAGGAAGCTCTGCACTTTAAGGGGTTAACCAAAAAATCTGACAATGTCTCTAGTTATTATGCACCTATCAATGTTAAGCCCCAGAGGGGGGGGGGGGTTTCGGGCATATGGGGGGTATTTGATTATCAATTCCATTCCCACCCTGGGGATTTTGATTAGCATTTTGGCCCATAGTATTTATTGCAATTTATTGCAAGATGGTGGGGCATTTGACCAAGATATATTTCCCGACGGTGGGGCATTTGATTGAAAATTTGCTCAAATAATCAAATGCCCCCCCCCCCCCCTTTGGGGTTTAACATTGATAGGTGCATTAAAGCCATTGAGACGTAATGTGCCCCAGTGCCCCTACTACACCAGACAATTTCACTCATCAATGGGGAAACATGCATGTTACAGTAAGTTCAGATTGTCAACTAGGCATGTAATAACAATATACGAAGTAGACTCTCGCTTAAGTAGGTGCATAGAAAATAGTGCCTTGAATGCACAGTATAGCTGCACTATTGATCAAGTATTTTGGTTTTCATCCAAGCAAGGCCTGGTACTAGTTTATATTAGTATATTTTTGTATGTCATCATCTAGTGTCTTTAATAGTAAATAGTCAACATTAACATCACTATGATATCCATATTTACCTTTATAACTTGAGTCGTTGTTAAGCCAGTTTCTGCTACAGCGCTTTCGATCATTTCGCGATAATTTAGACCAACACCGACCATTCCACGGCCGTAAAACCTTTCCAAAATATCTCTCTGGTTGTCGCTTATTCTAGTTCTCTTTCATATCTCCATTTCATTGCACAGAATCGCAAATAGACTAGAAAATCTGCTAGAAATGTTTTCAAATATGGCAGCTCAAAGCTCGAGAAGAACGTGTTACGTGTGATAGAAACACGATTGTGATTGGTTTATATATAATGATATGCGAAAGCGTCAGCGTCAGGTAGCGCAGGCGATAGTCTGGCACGGGTAATACCGAATATTCTCAATTGAGAACATATGGGTAATACCCGTTGAGGTGTATGCTAAACGGGTGAGCGAAGTAGTTGCAGTTCGCTACTGTAGCGAACTACAATTTTCAAGTATATAGCCAGTAGTTTTTTATTACTTTTTTAAAACAGTAGTTGTAGTTATAGCGAACTACATTTTGCCTAAAAGTAGCCAAGTAGTTGACTACTTTTCAAACAGCGAATCGCTATTTGCTACTTTTTAAAATTGTTAGCAACCGTTCATAGAATAGAATGATATTAAGACACGGTTTTCCTAAAAGATTATTTTACACAGTAAAGTCAAAGATTATTTTAGCGCAATGAAAAGTGGCACTCCTGAACACTGTAGTGCTTACAAAAATGTTGCTTTGACCCTTCTTGTTTACTGTTGCTACTCGTAAGTCGATTTGTTATAGGTTGTATTACAGCCTGAGCTAGTGGATGCTCCAATTACCATAAAATAAAAATATAAGAGTAGCAAAATAGCGAAATAGTTCGCTACATTTTTTAAGCAGTAGCTGTAGTCAGTAGCGAACTACCTTTGTTAAATAGTAGCAGTAGTTGTAGCTGACTACATATTTTTGAAGTAGCTGTAGTTATAGCGAACTACAAAAATTTTGTAGTCAACCCACCCTTGGCAATTCTATTGTACGTGCATCCGATCAACTCTAGAATATTGCTGCCAGACACTTCATAGCAACTTGCCAGTACTAGTGTATTTGTCTAATCAAATTGAAAGAATACAGAAACGAGCTGGCTTCGCAAGCTTTACCCAGAGGAACATTATGGTGACGCGTTAAAATTAACAGGCCTACTAGAAATACATGCATGCAATAACCCCTCGCCTGTTTTCAAAAGATGTATACTCAGTGCCGTTGCTAGCACTTCGTCTCAGGGGGTGTGTGAGGTTAGATAGAGGGGGGGGGGGTGGTTACCAAAATGTTTCCAGATGTACAAAAAATTTTCAGGACATATAATAATTTTTCCGAAAATACAGTTGTTTTCCAAATTCACTTTCTCATGTCCTGAGAATTACCTGAATTCCCCTGAAAATCTTCTGCAAATCTACTTAAATTTACCTAAAAGTGCACTGGAAATCTACCTGAAATTCCTCATGAGCAATTATCAGGGGTGTTGCACCCCCCCCCCCCCACCAGTGAGTTTCACGCATTCACGCAAACACTCTCTGATTTATTGTTCGTGTATTTCATCTCCCAAAATTTTGTGCATCATACTATAGAGCATTTTGCTGTTGTCATGGTCTAGCGTGGTTCAAATTTATGAATTTTTATCATATAAAGTATAGTGTTTTATGTACTATTTAAAACACGAGTAGGAGTGTTTTATCAGATATATAACGCGAGGCGCAGCCGAGCGTTATATATCTGATAAAACACGACAACGTGTGTTTTATCAGATATATAACGCGAGGCGCAGCCGAGCGTTATATATCTGATAAAACACGGACAACGAGTGTTTTGAATAGCTTAAAATACGACTACAAAAGAATATTAATTTGGATGAACCATAGTATAATCATGCTAATTAAGGTGAACAATTATATAATGCCACATGTGTTTTATCAGATATAAAGTCACTCCACGTGACATATTATGGCTGACATGTTTGCCACAAGGTTTATGAATTATTAATGATATTTTAAAGAGATTTCGAGCACTGATAAAAATGATAATCTCACATGTGAAATTATTCATGATAATCTCACATGTGAAAATTATCGCCTTTTCAATTATCGCTTTTCTGTAAAAATTATCGCTTTTCAAAGACTGTCCTTTATATAATAAACAGAAAAATACATGGGTGGTTGGAAATACCAGATTAAATTTTATTTTTCGTGTTGAACATGACATCTCACTCGTTCGATGCGCTCACTTGTTCGCTCCGCACTCATGTTCAACACTCGAAATAAATCTGGTATTTCGTGCACCCATGTATTATTCTCTATTTAAACTACAACTTGACTGGTTTAAATTATTATCAAGTTATCAGTGATAGTAAAAGTTGCAGATAGAAGTGTTTTGTTTTATATTATTATCAAGTTATCAGTGATCGCAAAACCTCCAAATTCTTAATTTCAAATGTTAGAATGTTAGGGTTTGTAATCCAAGTGAGAATTATATACATTTTAAGACCTAACCAGGAACGACTGCGAAAAATGCAGCACAAGGTCCTCTGGTAGGAATTGAACCTACGGCCCTGCGATTCCGGTGCAGCGCTCTAACCAACTGAGCTACAGAGTCCAGCTGTTGAGCTTTAACCGTAAGTTCATGTATATTCACAGGGAGCCCATCCCATATCTTATTGAAAGCAAATATTGAATGTACATATAGTATTTATATAGCTCAGTGCTGAATCTAAGGGCGCGCGGCCTGCCTGTTGCGGGCTGGTTGCGGGCTGACAAGAGCGCTAGAGCTAAAAAGGAAAAAATAAAGGGATGAAACATTGGCGAAGGCTGTCCGAATGTGTTCCACAGGTTGCTATGACAAATAAAAAATAAGAGTTTTATGTTGCCATAAAGTATACTAGGGCCTATTCTTCGATATCGTTCGGTTAAACTGTTCAAAATAATTGCTTATGAGAATGTTTTTCTCGATCGATTGCACATGAGTGAATGTCTGGATGTGTTCCATAGGTTGCTATGACACGACTATTTCCGATCTTGACACGATACTTCTTCGGAGTCTCCCGTTGGCAAATGGAGCAAATAAGTAGAGAACGAAATCCCCCCTTGTTGCTGAACATAATAAATGAATATGTACGTATTTATATGTGTTTTGGTAAAATTATATATTACTCTTGTTTTCTATATTTCTGACCAAATATCAAATAAAGTGTGTTTTACTGTTTACATGTATCATTAAAGTTTATAATATCATTTATTTTAATAACTTTAATATTTATAAAGGTGTGATACGGATACCATCAATTCTGGTCTCAATCATGAGCAAAAAAAATATTCGATCTTGCTGCTGAAGGGCACAATGTTTTCTTTGGTGGTCAAGGTGGTACTGGTAAGACTTTCACAGTTAAAAGGCTTGTGAGTTATCTTTCTGCAACAAAGAATGTTGCTGTAACTTGTACAACTGGCATGGCATGTGATTTGTATGAGAAGGCTAGCACTTTACATGCTTTTGCTGGCATTGTAAATTCTCGAATGAATGTGTATGAGTTAATAGTATCTGTACGAAATCGGGAAAGTTGCTTGGCAAGGTGGAAAAACACTGATACATTGATCATCGATGAAATTTCTCAACTGAGTAGAAAGGTATTTGAAGCAATTCATCACTTGGGACAGAAAACAAGAGAGAATTGTAAACCTTTTGGGGGGATTCAAATTATTGTTGTTGGGGATTTTAAACAACTTCCCCCAGTTCCAAGTGATATTGACAAAGGCGACTTCTGTTTTGAGAGTCGATTGTGGCAATCAACATTCAAACACAATGTATTACTCATGACTGTTTACAGGCAAGAACAGCAGCAGTTCATTAATTTTCGCAGGGGTATTGCATCAGGAGTTATTTCAGATGACATGCAACCCCTTATTGAGGAATTAACATCAAAAACTCTTGATGCACAAACGTTTGGATTGGAGTTTATTCCACATATTTTTTGCACTAATTTTGAGGCCAACTTTCATAATATGAATAAACTTATAAATTTACCTGGAGACATTTATGTGTATGATGCCATTGACACAGCGAGTGAGAACACTTTGAATAAAGTTACTTTGGCAAAAAGTCAGTTGAAACTGAAAATTGGTGCAGAAGTAATGCTGCTTTATAATATTTCTGAAAAGTTGAAGAATGGTACCCGGGGGAAAGTTGTCCAGTTAGAGAAAGATGGTCCCACTGTTGATTTCAAAGATGTTGGTATTGTCACCAAATTACATCGATGTACATGGTTTGCATACAAATCTGGAATGAAAGATGTTATTGTTGGGCAAAGATCTCAGTTTCCTCTGATATTAGCTTGGGGAATTACTGCTCATAAAGCACAGGGACAAACATTAAAGGCTGCTGTTGTCCACAGTGGCAATGAATTTTTGCCAGGTCAATTGTATGTTGCTTGCTCCAGAGTGTCGACGAAAGAAGGTCTGCATATTGTTAATTTTAATCCAAAGAAGCTCATTAAAGAAGATTCCCGCGTTGGTGTATTTTATTCTTCCCTATCTGATTGTCCTCCCTTGCCTGATCTCAGTTGTTGTGTATGTAGCTGTGTAGATGAAGTATTACAAGATCACATTGAAACCGATAATGTGTTCATTAATTCTGAAAGTTTGTCAGAAACTGATTTGGACAGAATTGAAAAAGTTTGCAGTGAATTGTTTGTTGAAGCAGAAGAACAAGAACATGTTAACCTAGAGGATTACATTGACTCAAATGATGTTTTCAGCTCAGTAACATCAGAAAACACAGAACAGGAAAAGAAATTACCAAATGACTTCAATGTTTTTGATTTTTTAGAGACTTTGAAAGATAAAACCAAACTGTCTTCTGAAGAAGGATCCCTGAAGAATAACATTAATACACTGCTCTCAAAACTACAAACTGAAGAGTATTTACCAAGGGTCCATATATTTCTGCAAATTTATTGGGCTCATATATCAGACAACATTACTGCAAGATTGAAAACCGTTAAGGGCAATGATAAATTCGATTTTAAAGGGATTTTGGCAGATGAAATGTTATTGTTAAATAGTATGGATATCACTGCTGCATTTTCTAAAGTTGTACAAGAAGTAGAAATTTGCACACATCATTATTGCACAATGACCGAAATGGTAAAGAAATTAAGGTCCCTATATCTATGTAAACTTTATGCTAACTGTGTTGTTCAGCATGCTGAAAATAAGGATACCAGTATACCAGTCTGGGAAATGGACAAGAACTGCCATGGGAAAGTTAGATATGTTGGTGGATGGGTGATAGCTAAACTTATTCAAGCCAACAGAAAGTACAACTGCCATGGGAAAGTTAGATATGTTGGTGGATGGGTGATAGCAATACAAACATTTCATCAACAAACATGCTAGTTAGAAGTGAATTGCATAAAAGGTTTGAATTAATCAAACTGCTTGAAAGTTTACTTGTTCATTCCAGTACCATTCATAGTACATCTGAATATTCTGGCAGTTTGGAGTTAATTGATCTAAAACAGTACAGAAATAATGCTCTGGTGTACATAAATGATGAGACATTCAGATTTTTCATGGATCTTGAACAATTTAGAGTTACCTTACTATGTCAGTCTAAATTAAATATATTTAAGTCTGATTTACTTAGCATGGCTATGTTAACTGTTAAGCAGAACAAGGATCTTTACAATCAATGGATAAACTTATTTGAAGGATATGCTGTTAACTTTTTGGACGTTTTGTTTGGCAAAGTTGTCGACAAGTATTTTCACATGGGATGTGGGCAGTTTCTAAAGGATTTTAAAAGAGACAATAACATTAAAAAAACAGAGGCCCATCGTAAGCGTGTTGTGGAAAAGAAGGCTGCGAAACAACAGAAGGATGAAAAAATAACTATCAAATGTTTGTCAGAAGATCATAGTGCAAACAAACAAGATTCCCACAGGTTACTTGTTGCTATGGTTACCAAACGACCTGGAGTTTTTAATTCCAGTGTATATAATAAAGATGAAATTAAGCACATCTACAGAGCTTATGGCATAAAGTTTGTTGCAAGTTGGAACAAATCCAAATTGAATGACTGTCTTGTCAGTCACATCAAATCTACCAATCAGATGAGTGATCCAGAATACTTGAATGGTATTCAATAACATTTTCAATTAATTATAAAATGGTTAGTAATTAGGAATATGTATATCGACCATTGTATAATTATAATTGAATGAATTTATTGATAATTCTTGATGGTGTTCGAAAAAAATAACTATCCAGTATACCTTAGATGTACTTACGCCACACCAATGTCAAACAGTGCATTGCAATGCGGGAAACATGTGTAAAAGTACAACCTGGTATTTACATGCATTGAAAACAGTATGACATAAGCACTTCTAAGGTCTATTTACATTACATTTTTCGACCATTCAAAACATTGTTAATGTTTATAACTTTATATCGAATGAAGATTTTTCTTATCTTTTAGAACGTTTTTCTTGTGTGCATGTCTATTCTAATTATGCCCCCATTAATAAACAAAAGTTTATGTCTGCATTGGTGGGAATTTTTTATGCAGTTTGATACCATGATAAAAGGCTGTTTTGTGGAAACATTACAAAATCAGAATACAGTTATTAACAATTTCTAAGTCATCAACATTGTGAATCATACCACTTGGCAATATCAACCTAAAATATCAGAATTATGGTTTGGCATTTTAGCATTGATGGCTAATGAATGTACTACTAGTTACATAGGGGAGAGATTACAAATGGGGGGGATGGGAGGAGTAATTGCGATTAGAATTGACTTGTTCATTTCTTTTTCCTTAGAACTGGTAATTTCGATGGTTTATAGAATGACAAACTTTCAACAGAACCGGTGTTACTCTTATTGGTTACAGATGTTTGTCCCAGCAGAATACTGTTGATTGTTGGTCCGTATTGGGCATATGTAGGGTTATCGTTTTGTCCATTAAGACCTCTCTGCTGACAGAACACATTTTCCACAATATTGCTGTTCATTCTGTATGCAGCAACAGAGCAACCAGGATGATTCTTAAATGCCTGTTTGCAGAACTCTCTGAACCCAATAATTGTGGATGACACATCAAACATGGTTTTATCAGACAAGAACATCTTGTTTCGATCAGATGCCTTCATATCCTGGCGGGCTGATACTGTTGTCCGCCATGATCTGAGCCATGTCAAACATTGGTCATTCTCTGTAAAACGTGGATCTGCCATTGAAGAGTAAGGCTGGTGACTTGAGAAGTTTTGTATAAGTGTACTGGTCATTTCCAAAAACTCTACTGTGGCATCCAAACAATGTGTTTCACTCTGAGTCTTAGACTGTTCAAGAAGGTGCCTTCTGAAACTCTAAAATATTTAAATCACAACACTATTGTTAATTAACAAACTTTTTATTAAACAAAGAATGTCTATATTGACTATATTAGTGACAGTTATTTATCATGGTCCCACTTTGTCAAAACAAGATAAAAGGTGGGACGATTTTATGTTTTGATTTTAGTGAAATAAAGTTAAGTTAAGTACGGTTTATTTTCTGCGAAATAACTTATTGTACTTTTATAGTACTGCAGATTTCAAAGTTGTTGAAAGCAAAAGATACTGTAGTTTGAACAACCAGTGAACAATTTTGTCAATTAAACTATATAATATCTGCATGGTTAACATCATTTCTATTATTGGCTGTTGACTTTTCACTTATGCCTCTTGACTTATTTCAATCTAAAAAAATCACCCACCTCTCATCCCGTCAAAGTGTAAACAACCCCTTATGTACACAATGTTTATAGTAAGGGGTTTAAATAACTTGAGGGTGACAAGAACAGTTATAATTACCATACAAAAACATATCACCATGAGCTAATAACATACCTTCATAAGATTTAACATATCTTTGTTAAGAACTTCTTCTGCTAGATGATTTCTCATCTTTGTGGCATATCCCAGCTCAAAGTGGTCCATGCCCAGACGGTGGTGAGCTGGTAATGAGTTTTTCTGGTCCCACTTGAAAGCTTCTATCCACTGGTGCCAAGCTATGGGATTTGGTCCGACAGTTAAATTCCTTGTTCCTCCAGGTCGACTCTTTTCTACATTGTTTCTCAATTTCTTTACATTATGCTAATAAGAAATACATTACAATACATTATAAAATAAGTAAATCATATTTACCTGGTGGTGCAAAATATATGAATATTATATTCAACTTAAGTTTGCATTTTTATAAATATATCAGACTAGTGTATGTTTTTTAATCATATATTTATACCACCATAATGTACACTCTCTGTATGCATGCTGTTGAGCCTTTTCTAGTTTGTATCAAATAATTGTATATAATGTACATGCACGAGTACTTACAGGGAAGTCAAAAATGATGATCAATGGTTTTCTTGTGTATGGATTGATGACTGTGAAATACTCTTCTTCTGGATTCTTACCACCGAATTGCATTTTGATAAAACCACGATTACTCTCCCCTCCATCACAACAACAATATGTGACAACAAATTTAGACTTTAAAAGCCAGAAAACTGCTTTCCAGAAAAGGTCATGTAATGTAGCTGCATCTGCTTCTTTGGTAGGCCAGTGTGCAAAGGGGAATCTAAAGCCAGTATTACCAAGAAATACAAACTGCAATACATGAGTTGCCATTTCAGGTTCTGAGTCCCTACCTAAATGTTGTGTATAATGAGAAAAAAATTAATAAAAAATACAGTAAACTACTCAATTACATGCTTACACCACATATTATTTATATTATGTGCACACTGTACAGTTTATTCACCTTCATTTAAAGCTATCATTGTGTCATGTAGTTCTCCCAGATCAACCAGTCCAACTAACTTTGTAATACCATTTTCTACTTTTAACTGAAGACCTTCCTAAAAATGAGAAAAATATCATAAATATAACATAATGTATTTAATTCTACACAGACAATACGTTGATCTAAATGCCCTATTTTCAGACCCCTTGATACTGGCTAGTGAATATAAAAATGTATTACCATATGTAGATTGACTGATAATTAATGAATACCTTTCATTGCATTTCTTATCAATAACACAAGAAAGTCATTTACAATATTTAAAATAATTTTTATTGACATTATGATTGAGTTTTTTATTATCGTGTACTGTATATTATTATTATTGCACACCAACTCAATGATACACAGATGCATTACATCTGTAGATGGTAAATAATATACCTGTATAGCCATTTCATCTAAAATAAGTCCACCTTCTCTTCCAAACGAGTCCAGTTTTAGTTTATCTGCCTCCCTCAACATCCATTCCAATACCTCATCATTCAATCCTGGCTTTTGTTTCACTGAGTTCTTGTACAATGATAGTAAACGACCTGATGGTAGGACAAGCACACCACTTTGTCTGAGCTCTTCGTACACTTTCGGACTTTTGATCCATAATGAAAGGCACAAACGAATAATTCTGTAGGAAAATATAGCAAATTAAACTATTACTCTAGTACCCTGCATATAAGCACAGCACATATAAGTGACTTTTATTCCATTTTTGGTAAAAAAGCTGGCATTTTATAGGCACATGCATATTTAAAATTTTGCTTATACTTATAGGCACACCCAAATATTGCACTACAGACTGACGACAATGTTTATAACTTAAACCATAAAAAATGTATTCTTTTCATGTTAAATATATACCCTACTACTTAGAAGTACTGTAAATCATCTGGCATTAGACAGAGTAAAATACCAGGTAATAAGTTATTCAAACATGCTACACAAGAAGAAAATAGATTAATTCGGCCTACAAACAAAATCATCTGTCCATATTTTAATATCTCTAAACTGAAAAATACCAAGACTGAATGGCAAATAAGAATGGGACAATGGGTTAGGAAAATGAGTTTTTAATTAACCCACTTATGGAATATAATTAAAACTTACTTTGGATGCCATCTGTTGCCCCTTGAGTCTTTCGTTTCAAGTGCCTTCTTCTGTGCCTGCCAGAACAACTTCAAATCAGGTGAAAGTTTTTTCTCATCAATGTTAGAAAACATTTTCTCAAAATCTTCACTGTCCTCTATATCAAAGTTGTACATCATTTTCAATGACTCTTTCAACCGTTGTTCTCTTTTTTCACCACTGAGTCTCATTTTCTTCTCTAACTGCAACTTTTCTTTCATTTCTCCAGTGGTCATGTATGTTTCACGTTTTGGTGGTGCACTTTTCTTATCAGTTGGTTGGATTTGAAAAGTCTTATAAAAGGAGTTGGATTTAATCTTGGAACAGTTGCCACATGTCAGTTGGTGGGGAGTCAAAAGGACTGAACAATTAACAGCCCTGTGTCTGAGACAAGGCATTTGTGCCTGATCAGCAGAACTGGAAGACCATTTCTCCGTTATTCCAACAACCGTACCAGCTCTGTTGGTGGATTTCTTATCCACATCGACTTTAAACCCCTTGCATAGTGGAGCATTCAACAAAAACGAAAACAAGTTGTCAAAATAATGTTTATAAGGAACAGCGTTTCTTACATACTGTCCGATATTTACCTCTTTAGATTTGACACGTAATTTAAACGAAAGGTCTCTATCGATTTTAAGTTCCTTCATAACCCGCTCAGTGTTACACACATCATCGGTAACATTAATCCACTCCACAAACGATTCATTCGCTTGGCAAAGAACCCATGACGGCGACAAGTATTGCATAATGTTACTCCAAGTCATTTTAGTAGGTGAATTTACAAACGAAATACCTTCGTATACATGTATTCGTTTTCCATAGCTGTTATCGTCGTCAGAGTTTATCCTAGCTTTTTGAACACCAGGAAAAATCCGTCGTACCAACCGTCCTAAATCGGCAGTCAAAATTGTATAATTTTCTTTTGAGGATGAAGCATATTGTGAGAACATTCTATTCATTTGTGCAATGTTTACTGTTTTCCCTTTACACATTTCATAGCTCTTCAAAACCCTACGAAAAATATTAGTTTATTAAAAATATAGAAAAACCATTTAAATTTTCAAAGTCAGCGATCTCGACCGTCAGGAAAGTTCAATCAAATAGACGAAATGACGAATAAAATTTGAATAACTTACCAGTCAACCGCTATATTATCGGGAATATGCAGATTTGGAGATGACAAGTTTGTAATCTGAGTCTGAGTGATATTTAAAGTATCTGAAAGAATTCCTTTTGTTGACATTTGAACGCGATAGGATTACGAAGTCAAGCCGATGATTGACGATGTCATAGCAACCTGTGGAACACATTCGGACAGCCTTCGCCAATGTTTCATCCCTTTATTTTTTCCTTTTTAGCTCTCGCGCTCTTGTCAGCCCGCAACCAGCCCGCAACCAGGCAGGCCGCGCGCCCTTAGATTCAGCACTGAGCTATATAAATACTATATGTACATTCAATAGTTGCTTTCAATAAGATATGGGATGGGCTCCCTGTGCTCGTGATCCACCATTTATGTCCCCGCTTGTTAAGCATCTGTGTAATGTACGAAATAGGGAACTTATGAGAGGCGCTGATACTGACCTAATTCAACAGAAGATAAATAAACTTATTCGAGAAAACCAAGTCAAAGCCATTTATGACGTTAAAGGAATTATTGGCATACCAATGAAGATTTTATTGCTTCCTGAGCTTAGTATATTTAAATAGACAAACTTGACATGGGACACATGGGTATTTTCCCCGTAATTTTCTGATCACATGAATGTAATGCGTGCAGGAAAACGGAAGGGAGAGGTGATATACATATCTATAGCAGAATGCGCATCTGGTTCATTCTGCTCTTCGCTTTGGTAGCGCAAAGTCGTCTGTATTTTAAAGTCAAGTTTTTCCATCAGGTAATCTTTCTTTCATTTTATATCTGAAAGTTGTAATGTCTGGGTGTGTTCCAACTATTTTACTTCTCGGGCATTCCTTTGCCCGTCGTTTACGGGACGACTTGGAAGCGCACTTTGATTTACGCGCTGCCCCAAATTTTCATCTACCCGAATCGGGCAATGTTTCTTTGTTGGGTACGGGTGGCAGAACTGTAGATAAAGTGCTTAAATATGATCTCTCATGGGTCAAAAAGTATAAGCCCGATATCGTGATTCTTGAAATGGGCACTAACGATTTGTCGGGTCACACCCCTGAGGTAGTGGGGTCGAAACTCGATGATCTTGTGCACATTCTGCGCGATCAGTATAAAGTTCGCGTTGTTGCTGTGTGCCAGGTGATTAATCGGAATCTGCCTCACACTCAGGCACTGATAATGCGTTTAATACCAAAGCCGCTCTTTTACGCCAGTACCTGTCTGTTGTCCTTGCTGAGGAACAAGGCATTTTTGTGTGGGAACATAGGGAGTTTTCTCACCCTGATCGTCTCTTGTTGTCCTCAGATGGTGTGCACTGTAATGCACAGAGACAGTACTGTTTATACCGTAGCTATCGTGGGGCCATCTTGAAAGCTCTCACCATGTTATAGCCCTTAGCTCCAATATGTGTTCATTTTACGCCTTTGGTACAGACATTATTATTGCATAACTGTTTGATAATTATGGTGCACTATATTATATACTCTTTTATATTTTACCCCTATGTATGTGGTTGCCGTTTATGTACCACTACTATATGTTTATGTTATATGGGCTAGAGCAACATGACTGTTTTCAGATGCCCACGTTGAGATTTCAACATTGGGTTTTTTCTACACAGGACATATTCATGATTTGCGCTGGTTATATATACGTACAATTCGCAGCTTCTTTAACAGTTTATGTATCTGTTTTGTTTCATGTAGAGTACATGTGTGTGGAGTGTTCTTGTAGTTTCCTTGTGTTGTATATAAGATGTCTTTTCTATAGTATAGGTATATATGACTTGCCGCTCCTGTGTCAAGGAAAAAATGCATGTCTAAGTGGGATAGAGCAATTATTGTTTTCAGATGCCCACAGTTGTTGTCAATATATTGTGGGACGGTGCGGCATGTTGTTTTCAGATTGCCCTTGTATATTATTTTTTGCGGCGTTAAAGGATAATCAATTGCGGCTACCTTCGCTGTATGCCATGATTATTCTGCTGCTTATATGTTGTTTTATTTGTCACCGTTTCATAAATATGTAAATGGTTGTGCAATATGAATATATGATGTCTGTTATTTTCCAAAATTCCTCTTGTCTAATATTCCAGGGCCTGATGTGGCTCCCGTTAAGCAAAGTCTTCGGTCTTTAGTTTTTTCTTTCAGAATGCCTGCTACTCGACCTAGCACAAGAGTTCAACGTCGTGCACAACCAGCAGCACCACGTCGTCCATCCTCTCGGCGAAGAACAGCAACCGCCAGTGCCACCACTATGCAGCAACCAGAGTCAAGTGGAGTCAGTTGTGAGGCGTCTTCCTCCGTGGCCACAACGTCAGCACCTGATGCAGCATCGCCAGCGACAACTGTTCCTGACGAAACGGTTCAACGGATCGTCTCCGCCGTCTCCCAAGCTGTGCTAGCGTCACTCAATGGAGCCTGCGCCACTACTCTTCCGCCGCCATCTTCAGCTGTGGAAACGAGGGAATTGCCTATGGTAGCGTCAGGTATAGCTAGCTTTGCAGACGCTACTATGCAGGGGCCGGTAGCGTCTGCCTTAAATAATCTTTCAGGTGAGACTAGTTTTATCCAAGTCTCACCGCCTGTAGAGCCGGGTCTGCCTAAATTTAATTCCACCATTGATGCGAATGTGAGCGCAAAAGTTAAGGCCAAGATTTGGTCTCACGAATTCATCGATTTTGGTGTTTTAATTAGCTCAGGGGCAGGTGATACCCGGTATCACTTGTCTGTGAGCTCCCAAAGTATCACTTGTCTGTGAGCTCCCAAAACGGTTCAGCTTTGCCGACGTTGTCTTTGGAACCGTCCCAAAAGCCGAAAGCCATTGCTAACATTGGTGCATGGACTTCGGCTTTTCAAATTTTTGTAGGGGTGTACACTGCCAAATATCCAATGGAGGCCCCAGCATTGATGAAATATAGTGAAGTTGTCCGGGATTTGGCCGTGCGAGGGGCTGACTGCCGCTTTTATGACTCGCAATTTCGTCTCTTGCGTCAATCTAATCCGACCGAGTTGCCATCTCGAAAATGATGGAAAACCGTTAACCAAATTACTGGGAGAGAATCTAGGTCGGAAAATATTAGTAATATTATCGATCCAGAAATTATGAATGCTTACTTCCAAGGTATAAACACTGATAATGAGTACGTGAGACCTGATCCATTGACAATCCCTGAAGGAACTAGAGTTCCAACTGTTGACATCAAAACTGTTGAAAACTTTATGATGAGACAAAAACAAACATCACCTGGTCCGGATGGTATTCCGTATTGGGTTTGGAGGGATTTTGCCTGCTATCTTGCACCAGTTCTTACATATGTATTGAATTCTTCTTTGAGACAGCAGCGTGTACCTAGTATGTGGAAGCTAGCGAATCTAAGCCCATTACCTAAGGAATCTCCGTTAACCGAATGCGATCAATTGAGACCAATATCGTTGACTAA